CTCATGCTCCATGGGATGACTTTTTAAAGTCCATCTTAAGGTTTCAGCACCCCTCATGCACTGAGAAGACTGGACAGCTAAGTTACAAATTCTTTTTTGAAGCCCTGATACTTAAAATGGTTTAGCATTGTAAAATGGTTTAGCATTGTAAAATGGTTTAGCACTGTAATGCTTGAGCCCTTCTGGGGAACTTATCTTTGCAGGTGTTGTAAGAGGATTGGGTATTGAGAAAAAAATATCCATTTCCATCCAAAAGCCACCAAATGAACCCTTTCTAATACAAAGCCATTTCAGGCAGACAAATACAACTGTGATGTGCTCAAGCAGTACCAAAGCAATATTGTCTCAATACAGATTTAAAACTTTTAGAATTTGATGGTACTTAAAGGATTCTGGTTATATCAGTGGCAATAACCCTGGAAACCTAGAGAAAGCTGAGTTGTCCCAATCTGCACTTACTACTGCATCTGATAAATACTTAATATTGACACCCAAGTCAATTATCAGTCATTTCAGCAAAAGATATTCAAATAATCTAAAATTAGGCATAAACCAGCTAATTTTTAAAAGAAAGTAAAAAAACCAACCAACCAAAAAAAAAAAAAAAAAACACAACCCAGCAACAAACAAACCAACAAAGCAAAGTTAGGTACAATTTTGGAAAGGATAAAGTCATGTTAAAACTAAGTTACCATCTTTCCATTCAGGTTGCTTCAAGTTACTTAATCTCCCAGGGCAGTGAGGAAACGCGAACATCATCACGTGCAGTTGACACAGCACTACCAAAAACGCCAACATGGCCAGGATCTGTCAGACGGAAACTAACGTGAGTTTCAAAAATAATGACCACGCTAAATGACACTCCTGAGGTGTCACTGATGAACCCTGGATGAATCCTAATAAATGAAGTCATCCAGCGCAAGCACCTACACGCAGCCCAGGCCGATGGGTCCCTGGAAGAAAGGCACCGACCCGAACTGGTCCTGCCTGTCTCTCGCAGAGCCCTCGTTGTGTAACACCCGCACATGTCACCGGGGCCGCTCTCGCCGCCTCCTGCCCTCCTCTCCCGGCTCAGCAGAGCGGCAGCCCCGAACTAACGGGGGAAGATCCCCCACAAGGCTTGCCCCAGGTGCGCTCCGAGGCCGCAGAGCTCCGCCTTTGCTGCCGGAGGAGGTTGTAAAAGCTCCGCGACGGCAACAGGTACAACCCCCCTATAGTCAGGGGGCAGCCGCCGCGACCCTCCTCGCTCCCTGCCGCCCGAGGAGAGCCTGCGTTCCCCCAGAAATTAGGAGTTACGTGAATCCATAACTCCTCCAAGAGACCCCCAGAGGCGGCCTGGCCCGAGCAGGCTCCGGGAGAGCCGGAGGCGGCCTTGGGAAGCGCTCCCGTCCCGCAGCCGGGAGCGGGGACGCCGCGTCCCGCACTGCCCTCACCTGTGCCGGGGCTGCTCCGGCGGCGGCCCGAGCGGAGCTGTGGAGGGGCAGCGGCTCCTGGGGCTGCTCCAGGGGCGGCCCGAGCGGAGCTGGAGGGGCAGCGGCTCCCGGGGCTGCTCCGGCCGTGGAGCTTCCTGGAAGGGGCGCGGCGCAGTCACGGGGCCGCACCTGGGCTGTGCCCGCCCGCACTGCCCGAGCCCGGGATGGGAACGCCCCTGGAGCCAGCAGGGAGAAGGGTCGGCGGGGAGAAGAGGCGCGGGTTGGCGGTGTTGTGGCTCTCTCCCTGGGTTTTGTGTGCGAACACCTGTCTGCGTCCCTGGGTCCCGCCCGCACTGCCCCGCCGACACGGCAGCGGCTCCTCCCGCCCTCCTGCGAACCTTTTTTTACTGTCGAACCCGACTCCTCCGTGGGTTAATCGCAGTGCTGAGAACCCGGTTTGTTGTTGTTTGCTCCCCCCGAGCCTGCGGAGCAGGGTGTGCCTCCCCAGCCAGCCGGGGCAGCGATCCACGGCTGACTGCTTACCCAACACGCCCGGAGAGGCTCGGCTGCACCGAGCTTTCCTAGCCCGGCAGATAACCGCGGGGGAGAGGGAGCCAGCATAAGTTTTCACACGCGTGAAAATAACTTTTGATGGGTTGGTGGGATTTTTTTTTTTTTTTAATCAGTGAAGGTAAGCTGCAGCCTTAAAGGCTAGAGAGTGGCAGAGGTGGTTCCCTGAAATCCGTGAGGCTGGTCTGCTCTAGGCTCTCCCTTCACTCTCCTTCCCAGTGTAGAGAAGCACATGAATCTGTATCTGTTTTGGCTTCTCCAAAGGACAAGGGAGAAGCAGTTAAGTACTTCACATTTGCTGTAAGAAGAATTTATTTAATGATGCGTGCTGGGAACAGTAAATATCTGAAAAATTTTGGGATAGGCTGGGCTGGGTTTAGAGCTGCGCACCGAAGAAACTCCCGAGCCACATGACTGGAATGATTTTGCTATCAGGAAACCCAGGGACTGACCGTGATTTGTGTCTGTGCTTGCATGTCTCTGGTAGTGACTCTGGACTGTGTTCTTTATGTAAGTGCCAGAGTGACTTGTACATACAGAAGCAGGAAAGAGTAGAACGAGAGGGTAACAGTAGTGGAAATGATCAGATGTTCTCTGGAGAAAACCAGAAACTTCTGATGTGTGAAATAAGGAGAAGTGTTAGGAGGAATGATGACTGTAGTTAAATATTTACTTTATGACATCAACACACTGCAGTTAAGACTTGCTTGATGAATATGTAACTTAAAAGCCAGGCTTTTTAGCTGGTGGAGATCTCAACAGAAAATTCTGTAGTATGATTATGTACGTGCTTATAACACAGTGGTGAACTAAGATAACAGTATTTTTACAAGAAAAGAACGCTACAGATTGTTTATTATCTAGATAACACCAAATAGACAAGAACACCTTGTTGCTACGTGTTGGAAAACAGGAGAAATTGCCATTACTTTGTAAAGGACCTTACAACTTTCCCCCTTGGCCCCTCTGCTCAGCCCTCACCCTGAGGGCTCTAACACTCAGAGCTCTAACACTCCCCAGTGGTTACTCAAATGATTTTGTCTGTGTGGTTTTTAGCAGAAAATTTGTGTCTTCTCTGTGTATGTGCAATGGGTGCTTGTGCAGGTGTGGGGGAGGCTTTTTAAAGCATACGACACAAAACATAAATGCTATGAATTGGTTTTTTTTTTTTGAGATGCAACAAGAAAATATTACATTTTATACAGCAGGACAGGGGAGTTTTTGCTTGGGAAAAGACCGTGACTTTCTCCTGTGTGTCCCTCTGAGCTCAGCCTGTGTTGCAGTCTCTGTGATGGTGAGGACTGTCAGTGAAATCCTCACTGAGGGTGACTATCCAAGGTAAATGGATGGGTGAAAACTCTGTTTGCCTCCAGAGGAAAATGAGGGAGAAGCTTGGAACAGCAAGCACTGTAACGAGTGTGCAGGAGTCCTCTGACTCCTTCCTGCATCAGCGAGGGAAACCTTTCTTGGTTTATGCTGCCAGAACAACAAAAAAAGGCTCAGTAAGGTTTATCCCTGCCCACCCATCAGCTCAAGTTAATTATTCCAGGAGGAAATATTAAAATATTGGGGTTACGCTACAGGTAATGACTAAAAGTGTGCTGAGGTTCTCATTTGTTGTCCAGATCATAGAAAAGATAAATACAAGTGAAAAAGGGCACAGTGTACTGCATTTACTCAGGGTAAATGGAGTATTTCCTGTGCATATGCAGTTTTTAGCGTGGCAGAAAGATAAATATCTTTTGCATGTTGCTTTCCTACTTGTGAAGCAATTTTTCAGGTAAAAGAGCCTTGATTAACAAGCTATGTGATGAAGAAGCTCAGCAAGATGGAACCATCATTAAAGATGCTATTTTCATCCACTTTTTCAGATAAATGCCTACATACAGTATAGTAAATGTGTAATTAGAGGTATTCTGAGAGATGAAAAATAGGAAATTAAGTTATATCAGTTGATTTTAGCATTGGGTGAATATATAATTCATATTTCTAAAAAAAATATCGAATTTATTTGCCATACTGGCTAGCATCCTTGTTTACCTGTATTTTAAAACTTCACTTGTTACAGTAAATTTGGTAAAATATTATTGGAGAACCCAAATATGGTGCTATTGAATTGAACCAGAACTGTCGTGTCACCTCACTGGAGGAGGATGGTACCAATCTGAGATGTCTATGCATCAACTGTTGGGTTTTACAGATGTCGATTACTTTGCTGCAAATGAATAGTGCTGTATTCAGGTGTTCTTTTTAGTATAGTAAAGAATAATATGCTTTATTGATTTTTGATTGGGAGAACTTTGGGTCGGGGATGCATCTAATTCCTTGTTAGCAGTGTCCAGATCATCTGATTCAGGATTTTTTTTTTTTTTGTTTGGATATTTGATAGAGAATGATGAAAATTAACGCCCTTTATCTCACTCAAATAAGCAAATCTATCCCACCATAATGTTGTTTGACAAACGTGTCATTAATTAAATCTTTACTTAAGGTCAATATTACTCTAGTAATGATGCTAGAATAGAATTTTATGTGTGTTCTAAATGTGCTTTGATTTCAGATACGCACCATTTTTAGTTAAGGCTGTCACTTCATCCCCACAAGACATGATGAAGTCTTCTAAGTGTTGGTAATGAGGATCCTTTGCGGTTAAGAAGTTGAATTTAGCTGGTTGACTTTTGCTGAAGTTACTGCTTCCCTCCTTCAGAGGGCTATTGGTGATTTTTCTAATTGAAAAAAAAGATTGTTGGCACAAATATCCTATGGCAGTGTAGGGGGAAAAGCAAGAAATGTGAAAAAATTAGGGGCTTAGTAGCAAAACAACTGATTTTAGGGACAGGTTGATAGATAAATATCAGCTGTTAACTTTCAGAACGAGGCAGGATTTTTCAAAAACAATAAAACCAAAAAAAAGCCTTTACACAAATTTAACTATTTAATTATTAACCACCAAGCTGCCGAGATACCTTTCATTGCTTGAAAATAATCATAGGAACTTGTAATAGCACATAAGTAACAAAAGATGCAGCAAGTTGAATAAGACCAAACTGGTTTGGGGTTTTTTGTTTGTTTGGGTTTTTTTTGTTTTCGTTTGTTTGTTTGGGGGGTTTTTTTTGTTTGTTTTGGGGGTTTTTTTGCTGTAGGAAAGGCTAATAGGTTGTGAGACTTGTATGCACCTGAATTCTGATGTGAGAATTCCAGGAAATGGTCTCTGGAAAACTGCCAGCATAAGTCAGTTCGTTTGAAACCACGTGCTCCCAAATATATATATACAGGGTAAAATAATATCGTCTCAAAGCCTTCCAGCAGTGTGAAAATCTTCTTCTGGCTTCTCTTGGTACAGTTTTGTCTTGTTTTGGGGAGCTGCTGTTTGATTAGTGAAATGAGCCCGTTTGGGTTTGCTGTTTCAGGTCACTGAGCAAGGACAGAAAGTTCCTGGCCTCAGGGGGTGGGACAGTCCCAAGGATGTAAAGGGAGATGGAGCCAGGCTCAGGTACAAACTGAAACGTGGGAAGTTCCTCCTGAATGCAAGGAAACTTTTTTTTTTTTTTTTTTTTTTTTAACTGAGGAGATGATGAGGGCTGGCACAAACCACCCAGGGAGGTTGTGGAGTCTCTGTCCTTGGAGATATTCCAAGCTGGCAGTAAAAGCTGGCCCTGCTATGGGGAGACCTGGGGACTAACTGAGCAACCTCCAGAGGTCCCTTCCAACCTGAACCACCCTCTGATTCTGTGATAATGACTTCTAGTAGAGCAAAACCCCTGATGGTTCCACCTTCACCCCAACTTTCTGGGATCTGGGGCTCCTATTTAGCTCCTGAGCTGTTTCTGTTGTGTTACTCTCTTGCCTCAGTAGCCCATTTCTCTGTACAGGTGAGATCTTGGATTAAATGATTCCCTGTCCCTGCTCACACTAGAGGGAGCTCAGTGGTGCCCTTTCAGCTTTCTCCTCCAGCTCTACTTTCATCTGTAACTCTGAATGTTCCTGCTGTTATCAAAGTAGAGAAGACAGAACCGTGTGCTGAAGAGGTTCAATTTTGGAACAAAACTGAGCTTTTGAGTTGTTTGTGAGTAAAGCAAGGTAGCAGCAGATTGACAGCTCTGGCTGTGTTTTGGTTTTGCTCAGGTACAGCAGCCATGCAGGATTCTGACGGGCACTGATGCAGCAGATATCGATGTTTCTGTTCTGCTTGGCTCTGATTTTGGTAGCTGCCGAGATGTATTTGTAAACTTCGTGTTTGTCGCTGTGATACAGCCGGTTTCTGCTTGGGATGTATTTGGTTGATCCATGAGGCACTTGTTTGGGACTAGGGGGAGTTGCTTGAAGGCTTAAGGTGGGAAAGGGAGTTTTAAGTTTTCTTCGGACATGTAATCTTAAAAATTCAACTTATTTTCATGGGTGAGTAGAAGCCAAGTTAAACTGAGAGAGGTGCTTATTCTGGATACTTTAATCCGAGCAGATAGAACGGTTGTTAGGATTGATAGTAGATCATAGTTTTACTGTTTTTCAAATTTAATAGACATGTGCATTAACTTTGTTTTGTTTTCTTTCTTTTTGGGTTTGGGTTTTTTTTCCCTGTATAGTGTG